TTTTCCTTGTAGATTAGTCCAGGGCATGTTGTTATTATGTTGACAAGATCGGGACAACGGTACCAGGTGTAATCCCAGGAATGACACATGTTGTTACAACAGAAACAATGTTCGGTAATTGGCCGGCGGCAGAGAGTGACACCTTTGTTATAATTGTCCCGGACAAGGCTTGGTGCATTAAGTGCCGATGGCGGAATGAACCGCTTGTCAACCAAATGACTAAGATCTAAAATTATGAACTTTTAATCTATAGCCTAATCCTGAGAAGTGTTGGATTAGCTGCAGTTTTAAAACACTACAACTACAGATACAACAACCTCTTTTCTTCATCCTTCTAAACTGATTTTAATTACATTATAGTGTTACTGGCAGGTTCAGAAGTATATATATATATACAGAGAGAGAAAGGAATGTATATGTTTCATTTATAAGAGAAACTACAGGATACTGAATAAATAAATGCATTTGCCATTTAAAGAGAATACCTATAGACAGACAGACAGATTTATTTCAGTAAAAGGCCGAAGGTCCCAAATACAGTCTTTACAGAATGTTTGACCTATGTGCGAAGTAATAAAGTAGTATTTAACTATTTCCTTAATCTTTGGACTTTCTCCAGATAATGACATGCATTATAATTATATTATACTCCCACAGGAGTAGTCTACCAGATCAATTGCCAATGTGGAGACTCTTACATAGGTGAAACGTCCCGCCCTCTCCCACTACGAATTAAAGAACACAAAACTTCAGTCCAGAAAAATACTCCAAATCCGCCATAGCCGACCACGCCCAAGCCAACCCTGACCATGCCATCCTTTGGGACAACATCCACATCCTGGAAACCAACCGATCAGACTACAAGATTAGGAAACTTCTTGAAGCCATAAAATTCCAACGCTTCAACCCCACCATGAACCGGGATCAAGGTTATTTTATCTCCTCAGCCTATCACCACCTAATTAAAGATCACCAGTTATCCACCCATACCTCGTCCAATTGGATTCTATGCTCCCTTTTGTGTATTGTAATCACAACCAATCAATGTGTACATCAACCTGCTCTCTTCAACTCACATTACCATCTCAGTGTACATCAACTCTTCTATTGTATAAACTTATTCTGCATATTGTTTTAATCACCATCGCTCTGCTCAAATCACTAATTAGCAATCCAATGTATATCAACCTAGTCAATTGTATATACACACTATGCAGCTATGTATATATTCTCCATGTTACAACTCTTTGTATCACTTGCTGGATAACGGTGTTAGTACCTACACCGAAACGTCGCACTCATTGCAATAAAGAAGTTGACTATCCATAGAACTTGGTTTTCCTTCATCTATACAACTTCTAAAATGCCTCTCAAAGAAAGAACATTATTATTTGTTGATATATACTACTATATATCATTGAAATATAACAGGCATACCATAAATATTGCGTTTACAAAGGAACGGGCATTTCATTACGAAATTCAACTCAATCATATATATGATGCACAAGTTCCATTTCCTGGTCTCTCAGTGAATATTTTACCAACGACCGCTGTCTGTTTGTAAATCCTTCCCCTCGGGTTTCTCGCTTGCTTGCTTGTTGTTTATTCAAACTCAAACTCTTTATTCTCTACAAACCGCCAACGGCGGTACATGAGATAAACGTATATACACTTACATAATATACAAGACAGCAGCTTACACGATAGAAAGATATAAGATAATTACAATATTTCATTTTTTAAATGCATTAAATACATGGTTCAGTAATTTAGAAAGGCCTTTAAGGTCGCTTATGCTGGTAGTAGACAAGAGTTTCTTAAAGATGGACAAATTTGGAAATTCTAGGTATTTAGTGTTCAGAGACTAACGTCGGAATTGGAGAAAAGCTTCACATCTAAACAAGTAGTGAAACTCGTCTCCAACAGCGTTTGATTCACAAAGTGGACATTGTCTGTCTACACGTGGAATGCCCAACCATCGGCCTGTCTCAGTTGGTAATTTATGGTTAGACGTTCTAAACTTCAAAATTGGGTAGTATATATTTTTTGGAAGAAGAAGATATTTTTCTAAGATTGGTTTTGAAATATTTATAATAATCCCCCTTGGAACTTGAATCAACATTTGACTTCCAATTTTGGAAAAACTGGGCTCTATAGGTGTATTCCAACAATATATTCCGTGTGTGTGTGTGTGAACAAGTAAACCCGGACCAGGCAACCAGCTCTACGCAATAGGAGTATCATGATCAGATCTACTCAATAGGGTACCATGATCAACTAGCTTAGCGATTAGGGCCACCTGATCCCGTTAGTTGCCCCTTACAGCAAACATGGGTTGCCATGTTCAGTGATCTCTACTCGATTCCAGTTCCCAGAAACGATAGTTGAATACTTCATCTAGAACATGCTAACTTCAATATTTGTTTTCATTAAAAAACTACATTTCACCTGGAACTTCCAGTCACTTTAATGTCACCTGTAGAAGTCGATAACAGTTAAATGTAAAAACATATCATCACAATCCTATATTGAAATCAATTGGAAAACCTCTCACTACAAAGGGATCAAATGTGACAAGCTGCACATACAGTGAGCCAGTGACAAGGTGCTAATTTTCTTTGGACCAAATTCTCTATTGTCTTCATTGGCAGATTCAAAGCTAAAATCTAATGACGCGACAGGAAGGAACCTGTTTTACCATGTGATATAACATGCTTATAACTGCCGGGGGCGTTTCAAGCCATAGGTTAAATACCTACACTCACTGACGGGCGGTCAAAGGCGTTCTGTCCTCATACGACACTTTCCTCCCCGAATACCGAGGTTTGGCGTGAGCGTGTTGCCTTGGATTATCCACCAGACTTGGTTGCCTGTACACGTGAAGGTAGGTAGTAGCAGTACCTGTATGTGTTGGAATGAAGAATATCATTAAGACAGTAGGAAATACACATGGTATAAACTGTGTTGATTCCAGTTTGTAATAACGATATGTAAATTATTTATTCAAATTTATCTGAACCTGCTGGAAGAAACTACGTTTCATATTGAGAAAATTGAAGCATCTTTTGAAGTAGAGACAAACCGTCTACCATTCATGACACAAATCGACAACTACTTTCGATAATGCGTACATTTTTAGGACCATCATACGAGTGGCGAGAGTAACCAGTAGAATACGAAATGCTTACCCTTTTTCGAACTCTTCGAGTCATCGTGATTTTAAGTCATCCTTTTATATAACTTTCATAGCTCATAGTCAATGGATTTTATTTCTATACTCATTACTTTAATTTACAGAACACATAGGCAGTGCTTGGTGATTTTCTATACATTTATATCAGTGGATATTTTTAAAGGTTGCATACATACACGATTCTGGTTAACAGCTTACTGGAATTATGACTTAATGTTAAGAGATATTAAAGCCAATGATGTTAAATCTGTTGATCGCTGTATTATTACGTCGTTCATGTACACATGATAACATGACTCTTAAACGTAACAAACAAGATTTATTAGTGAGTATAACAGGAACGCTGTAGCGCTACCCGGTACTAGCCAGGCAAATTAGCTGTGTCACTGATCGACATATTGCACTGGCTATTAGCATGCGCTGAACTCAATACTTCTTACCTCATTTACTGTCATCGATATTCCATGTAGGTTACATTTGTATCCATCTTGATTGGGATTGTTATGTGCAGCGGTATTTGGTTATTATAAGCCCTGGCGCATTTTGATCAGGCAGACATGCCAGTCTGAATATCTAAATAGTGATTCTGTTTATTAATGGAAAAATGCCTTTTAAACAACTTTTTACAAAAGTACTATAGAACTTGAAGGCCTAGAATACTCCAGCCAGTCAGATTATAAGGTTGACATATTTTATGCTTGTCAATATCCCATCGCTTGTTATGCATTTAATTGTACTTTGAGTTTCACAAGAGTAATCATTCAGAAAAAGCACATGAGTGAAATAATTCGATTGTTCCGCTAGCAGTTATACGGAAAAACAACAAACATGTCGATAGTTATACCGGATGTTAATGACCCGTAGCTCCATGTGGAAATCAATGTGTTGGTATGATTCAACCAGGCTCTTTACGACGAACCACATATCCATCTTTGTCCTAATTAAATTGCAAAATAAATCATTAGCAATATATGTTTAGCAACTATCACAATCTTACCGACATGTTATGGAGCATATCTTGAAAACACTTTTCTCACGGTAGCATTCAAAACAAACGTTACATCTAAAGTCTACCCAATTGAAAAACGTGAGTCATGGTTTATATGTATTTCAATTTTTCTAACTTGAGTAAGTTGTTAATTCTGTAACAGGATTATGGACATTGGGAACATTCTTAAACATCTCCTTATAAATGTCTATGGATCGTGACCAATACCAACCAGACAATAAAATTAATTCTCCTTATATTTCAATATAGCCTTACAACAGCCCCCGGTGTTTCCTTCAGATACAAAAACTGTCTAAATTATTTTAGTAGTGGTGGTGAACTAAGATAAGACCTCAAGTAATAGCTGTAAGTAACACTTCAAAGCCTCGTGCATGTATACCCGTCTACCCTTGAAATCAAGGCCATTGTTTCAGCGATGTCCACAGGCAATGAGGGATTAACAGTCTTCAGTCTAAAGACGATAATTACAAATGTAGTAGGAAAAAACTCTAAGCTCGGGGCATAATAAGGGATTAAAACTGTGATTAGGCCTATTGTTTAAATTTCAGCCAATAGGAGCACAGGAAACGGATTATCAGCCAATCCTGTTTAAGCGGCGCCCACCTTTCATGGTTACAGTATATAGTGAGCGGGTTAGAAAGGTGTAGCCAGATCAACCCGTTTCGTTGGGCCCGTACCTACCTCTCACACTTACCACTTACCCGGAGAGGAACTTGACTTGGGAAAGTGTTTTACACTGCTTCTTTTTGACATTGCAGGGCCAAGCCCAAACTACACAGAATGAGGACTCTAAGGATGTCCGACCTGACCGCCTTGGAACTGTTACTCATCATACTAGGAACAGCCTTCTCACAAGAACGTGAGTCATGGTTTATATGTATTTCATTTTTTCTCACTTGAGGTTAAGTTGTTAATTCTGTAACAGGATTATGGACATTGGGAACATTCTTAAACATCTCCTTATAAATGTCTATGGATCGTGAACACTTGAATACATTTGCATACTGTTTTCTAATTATATTTCCTATGTGTATCGTTTTAGCCTGCACGCCGATAGATTCTGGCGGAATCTCAACTCTAACAGTGTCAATTCTGGAGGCAACAGAAGCAGGTACGTTGTGCTGTAAAATAATGAAATCAGATTATTAAAATAATGCCAGTGTTATATCTATAAAGATACCTAAACGTGCATATTGTATCTTTTACTTTCTTTTACCGTTATCATCTTTGTTTTCAGATCTAAAGGCTAACCCCGACTTCCACACGGCCCAGATACGGATATTCGGCTCCGTGGGGTCTACTGTATCCCTGATATTATCACGGAACATAGCCGGAATCGACCCCAACGATTACTTTCGACTTGAAGACTTCCAAAGCGGGATTTATCTTCGTCTATTTCGGGCACTCGACAGAGATGTACGTACTATGTGGTCACGTTTACGTACTACGTGGTCACGTTTACGTACTACGTGGTCATGATTCCACGTAATGTTGATTCTATATGAAATAATAAATGAATGCTCTATGTTTAAGATTCCCTGACGCCCGTTTCAACATGTTGTGTGATATCCTATGCGAATATAAAGATTTATGCTGTGTTTCAGGGCGCGTCACCTTCAAGTTTTGACGATCAAAATGTTTTCGAATTCGTCATGGAATGCAACTCTCTGATCTCAGCAACTACACGCTACTATCCACTACGAGTTGCAATTGAGGACACCAACGACAACGCCCCCGTGTTCGTCGGCGCCCCCTATTCTATTTCAGTCAGCGAGGTAAGATCATATAAGATCAATTTCCTTTGAACAGAAAAATACAAATAAGGAAAGGTATCTCATGAAGAGATGCAAGACGTTCTTTTGTCATAAGAGTTCCTGCTGTCTCTTATCACTGCACGTTCTCTTCTCAGCTTGCCCCAATTGGAACGACGGTCTTCCAAGGACTTTCTGCCACCGACCTTGATTTTGGAGGAAATAAGAATATTGATTTTGGTATTGTGCCTGGATCAGGTGCAAAGGTGAGACATACTTACTATAACGTTCAACCGTTATGAATTTTACTGCTACCATGAGCTAATGTTGATCTCTCGAATTCCTCTATTCTAAATCACGTACTGCACATCCCGTTTAATGGTTTCATTGTTTGTCATTGTGGAATTCATAGTAGTTATGCTCACACATGTTGTTTTCAGATTGATGGAAGCACGGTATTCCAGATTAGTCGTCCCAGCGAGGGTTATGTCACCGTGACAGGTGGTCTAGACTTTGAAGATCTGAGCGCTGTCAACCAGGCATACTACGTCCTCAACATCTCAGCCTCGGTAAGCTGCAGAACAGTGTTATAAGCTGCAGTGCAGTGTTATACCACATCAATATAGTTTTGTTTGGTACTTGTATTTTGGTACCTAATGTATTTCTTTTGCTTTAAGGACCGAGCATACCCGCTAACCAACCGCAAAACGTCATTTACAACTCTGAGGATCGACATCACCGACGGAGATGATTTGGGCCCCGTCTTTGAATACTCATCCTGTGCTCGTTACGACGGCATCTGTTACAACCCTCGCTACACCACCACCGTCACCTCAAATGAACTGGTAAGTAGTTCAGTTATATAGTTCTGAAATATAAACAGTTTATTTGTCTGAATACTGTCTGACTATATTTTATGCTGAACGTTTTTCTCCAGACTGGCCAGTTGACGTTCTTCCCATCTCCCGCCATCACGCCCACCCAGCAGACCGTTAGCATCCAAGCCAAGGACCAGGACACATTGAACTCTCCCATCAGATTCTTCATCCAAGAGAGTAAGAAATTTAATGTAGAGCCTACCTAGAGAAAGAAACTTCCAAGCAATCTTACTGATTAATCATTACGGAGACGTCATCACATCCCTTATTACTGTCAAGAGTGAAAGAAAGCGCGGTATTTGTAATTGATTTTTAATATTCGTGCAACCTTTTGCAGCAATCCCGTCAGGATACACCAGCATGTTTGCCGTCAACACCCAGAACCCGCCCCCCGGGGTCAGACATGTACACGGCCGCTATTAACCAGATACAGAGCATCAGTAGACTCTCAACACAGACTCTCACCTTAGTCCTCAGGGTAAGCATGTCTGATGTAGATGAGGAACCAAAGAAAAACTGGAAGTGCATGAATTCCATTATGCCATACATCAATATGATTCCGAATTGTCATAATGTCTGGCAATAATAATCATCATCTACATGTGTGTTTTCATAGGCCGAAGAGCAGTCAGATCGTAGGCGGTATGAACGGGCGCAGATTGTCTTGTCCATCAACTCCGCTAATCTCTTTGCCCCATCTGTGACGTCATCAACCGGAAGTTTGACCGGCTACATCTTCGAGAACTCCGCAGTAGGAACGCTGGTGACCGACCTGTCTAACTCACAGCTATTGCAACTTCAAGTAACGGACAGCGATGTGGTGAGTCGGACCGAACTAAACCAAAACAACAACAAAAACAACACACCCATTAAAAAAACTTAAAACAATATTTATACATGTATTTCCTTTTCCTTCAAATGAGCTTGTTTCACTTCCAGCTTGCGTCTGACCCTAGCCAATCTTACACATTCACTGTAACGGGAACAAGCATCTTTAGCGTCAACAGCAACGGATATATCAGTCTCAACACCAACAACCTGGACTTTGAAACAACACCCGTTGTCTCCTTCTCTGTGAGTAGTGGATCATATTACCTATATGACTTCATATTGAAATGACCAATATACTGGCATGAAATGGGGATACTAGCCACCGAAACATTTACAAATCTTGAGTTCACGGTATATAATTTTCAGGTTATTGTTGCCGAAGCAAGCACCGCAGAGAAACGATCATCTACAGTTTCTCTGACTATCAACGTGTTCAACAGAAACGACTACGACCCGATTTTCCCTGCAACAACATCCATCATCAAGGTCGGAGAGGGAGACTACTCCCGCAATCCTCAAACCATCCTTACGGTAAGTTACAGATATCAACCGTGAATCTCAATACTAATAAATGCTACCTTTGGTAATAGAATATATTTTTTGTCATTTCGTAAAGTGTTGACCATCTGACACATTTGATCATCTTCATTTTTACTAGCTCCCATACTTATCCGTTTGTTGTTCAGGTTGTTGCAACTGATGCTGACACAGGCGTCAATGGTGCCATCACGTACTCTCTGGTTAGCGTCAGTGGTGACGGAGACGGCAAGTTCCAAGTTGACAGTGTATCTGGAAGTATTCAGATTGTCGGGAGCGTGGTCCGGAACACCATCTACACCCTGTCAATACAAGCTACTGATAACGCCCTCGACGGGGAACAGAAGTCGGCACAGACTGCTGTCATTGTCAACGTCACTAGGACTGGCAATGAGGGTCCATCAATTCCATCCCCCAACTACAGCCTGTCCATCAGCGAGGGCGTTCCCATAGATACATCCATATTTGCTGTTCCGGTATGTATTGTGTTATAGTGTAAATCGCGCATCATTCGCCATAACGTTGTGACTTGGATTACACCTTGTATTCAACCAGAAGGCATACACATGATAAAACATTTTTTAATGAACTATCTTTCCTATTTGCCAGGCAACTGATATTGACAACGACGTCCTGACATACAGCATCATCTCAGGCAACAGCAACTTTGACTTCACCATTGAGCAAAACAAGTGAGTAAACCGCTTTCTGTTTTCTACTTCTGTCGCATTACCACATATATTGTCAAAACAAGTAACATAGGCAATTTGTTTTCCATGATATTAAGATATCTGCCCTGAAACGTACTGTTACGGCTGAAGTATTTATGAAACCTGTTTTGTTACAGCGGTATTGTCAGAACGAGAACCCGCCTGGACCGAGAGCGTCGCCCAAACTATTCCCTGTTGGTCTCTGTGTCGGACTCCTCAAGCAGGGTAAGGATATATATATATATAATATACATACACATAAACATGTACTAGTATATCAATATCTAAGCCATTATATAAGGGGTCCTAATGCTCAGTTGTGACCATATAAATATGAAGTGTAACTATTCAACACGACCATTACATGTTGGAACTGAATGTTTATCACACCTCGCTCTTCTTGCCAACAGACCGCAACTACTACTCTCAGCCTCGTAGTCACCGACATCAACGACAACAACCCCATCTTCCTCAATCAGCAATACTCCTTCTCCGTTGACGAGAATGTGATCAACGCACCTGTTGGCAGTGTATCGGTATGCTTTAGTTTTCAGTATATTTTCATTCTTGTTCAGTAATACTGGCCTTCGAATTCCAATATAGGAAGTCTAAAAATGCAAACTGATATATTTGGTAATGTCTCTCTGTGCAGGCAAACGACCAAGATGAGCCGGACACAGTGAACAGTCAGATGTTCTACTCACTGAGTGCTGAAAAGTAAGTACACCGCTTATGATATCATATATCTAAATTGAAATGATAAAATTATACCATCATCCCTGACCAGAAAACAGCATGAATGAAAGAAGTTATTATTACCTTTCCTTGACTATTTTCAGATTTACGATCAACTCCCAATCAGGGGAGATCACCACGACCGAAGCTTTGGACTACGAGACTCAAAAGGTGCATTACGTTCTTGTCATTGCCCGTGATTCTGCTGTCGACAGCCGCAGTGGCACTACCACCGTCACCATCAACGTCCAAGACAAACAAGACAACGTTCCTATCTTTGTACAGTCACTGTACGAGCCCAAGGTTCCGGAGAATGAGGCCAACTATCTTGTCGCTACTATAAAGGTAGGTTTCCTGATAGAATGTAGTTTGTTACACGTACAACTTTGATTTTAACGCCGTAAAAATTTCACGACCAATACATGAAATTATAAGAATACTGATTGATATGAGCCCTTCAGCTTATATGTGTTATGCGTTTTAATAATTATTCATTTGAATGTGAACAGGCTGAAGACGCAGATTCTGTCGACAACATCGTCTACCAACTGGTCGGCAGTGGAGCTAGCAACTTCACCATCTCACAAAATGGCGAGATACACACTCGACAAGCACTTGATTACGAAAGAAGTAATTTTTACGAGTTCTTCGTCACAACAGCAGATGGCATCAACTCGTTCCTCCCGTCAGCTACCGCGACTGTCAGAGCATCCGTCATCGTGAGTTATCTGCCTGTTGATATACATACGAACTAAACTGAAATTGATTTTACCTGAGAAAATCACACATTATTGTTGTATTCTTTAATGACTGTTCCATGAATGACTTTCAGGATCAAAACGACAATGCCCCAGTTGTGAGTTTGTCCGTCACCACTATAACGCTGCAGGAGAGTACCCGGGTGGGGGACGTACTTACTACAGCCTCAGCCGTAGACAACGACCCTGCTGTAAGTATCCCGTCGATGTGAACGTTGAAACACAATCCATTGATTGAAATTGATGCAGTACCATTGAATATGGTTAAAACCAAATGTATTGTTCTTTCCACAGAATATGGCCAACAGCCGCATCTCCTACAGCATCAGCGGCGTTGCTCCATATCAGGGCAGAAACCTGTTTTACATCAACCCCAACAACGGACAGCTGCACCTGGGACAGTCATTTAACACAGATACGTCTGGTGCCAGCAGCTACCAGGTCGTGGTGACGGCCACCGACTTTGGCACCCCACCATTATCGGGTGCAGCCACCATGAACATCAACGTAGTGAGGAACACCCAGGCTCCAGTGTTCAACAGTGCCAGCTACCGGGCCACCATTGATCAAACCGTAGGAGTCGGTAGTAGTGTGCTGACCATGTCAGCCTCTGATGGGGACACCCAGCCACCTTACAACGTTATCTCGTATTCACTCGTTGGGGATGGTAATGCGCCTTCATTCTTCCGACTTGATGGTGTTAACAGCGGCTTGATCATTGTGAAGGATACTTTGACAAAGGATTCAAGTCTGTCATACGTGGTGAGTCTTCTGATATGCAACAGGTATTGTTCAGATCATAAATATTCATGTTCTATTTATCAGAAATCAGGATATATTCTGGGTCTTTCCAATAAAGTTATTCAATATCTGTTTTTCAGTTACGAGTTGTGGCTACTGATGGTGGAAACATTGCAACAACAGCAACAGCAACAATCATCGTCAACCGAAATCTCAACCGTCCCACATTTGTCCGAACGTCACTGGCAGCGACAATTGTGGAGAACTTTCCACTAGCTACTTCCATAGCAAAAGTCCAGGCAGTAGACAGTGATATCCTAGCCCCCCACAATCAAGTGACGTATAGCATCATCGGAAACCAGAACGCTGTGAACTATTTCGCTATAAGCTCAAGTGGAGAAATTTCCCTGAAGCGCTCTCCAACTGACACCACCACCAATACCTTCCAGGTGAATGTGTCCGCTCAGGACAGCGGTCTCCCGGCCCCCCTTGGGAGCCAGACCAATGCTGTAGTCACAGTGACAATTTCCCGCAACCAGAATCCTCCAATCTTCTTCAACTCAAGCTACAGCGTGGCTATTCCAGAAACATCGACCGTTGGATCTTCTGTGATCCAGATCTCTGCAACTGACTCGGACTCAAATGTAAGGATTCTTTTGAGTACATTACGTAGTGTGTGATACTTTTGTAATGAATTATCTATATTATGTGAAATTTTCTATGATATTTTTATGCTGACGTACGTATTTGCAGCCCCAGTTCAACCAGATCAGATACACTGTTATTGGTGATGATTCGGCCGGGACCTTCTTTAGCATCAACCCCATCACCGGACTCCTGTCAACCCAGGCCTCTTTACAGTCTGAGAATGTCGACAGATACAGTGTAAGTATATTCACATTGCAAGCCCTTAACAGTACTATCAGTATCCATGTTCCAGTATTACCTTTCATATCTACTGGGTATCAATACTGAAAATAACGTGCACATCATTGTATTTTTAAGGTTCGAATTGTCGCCTCTGACAATGGTTCCCCAGCCAGAAGTGCTACTTCAGTCGTCCTAGTGAGTGTTCAGAGGAATTTCTTCGCACCTGAATGGCAGAGTCAAACCTTCACTACCAACGTCCTTGAAACACAAGCTCTAGGTGTCCCAATCTTGTCAGTGACCGCAACCGACCGTGACCTGCACACACCACATAACGTCGTCTATTACCAACTGACCGGAAGTGCTGCAGTGTTATCACACTTCCACATTAATGAGGTCACTGGTGAGATCAGCATCAGGACCCCCCTAACTTCGGACACATCGGATCCTAATCAATACGTAGTAAGTACAGATTCATCTTTACTAAACGCGACAATATCTGTTAAATGAAGTTGATAATTCAAATATATTTAAAACCAAATAACAGGTTCTAAACTGAAATGTGTTTATCTGCTTCAGTTCTCTGCTCGAGCAATTGATCGTGGTACACCAACCCTAACTGCATCCAGCGATGCCAGCGTTGTCATCAATGTCGTCCGCAACCAAAACGGTCCCGCCTTCGTCGGTGAACCTTACGGCAGGTCCATTCGTCAGGATCTGGGCGTTGGTGCGTCTGTCATTCAGATCAACGCTGTTGACCCTGACACACAAGCTTCGTTCGGAGACATCAGCTACAGCATCATCGGCATCGACACTGCACCATCCTTCTTCAGCATCGACAGTGTCACTGGACTGATTACGCTGAGGGCTAGTGTAGCCACGGATTCTACAACTGAGTATAGAGCGTTGGTCCGGGTCGAGGACAGTGGATCTCCGCCCAAAAGTGACATCACAGTTGTGACTGTTACAGTTAATAGGAACCTTGCGGCACCTGTGTTCCAAGCTCTGTCCTACAATATTACTATACTCGAAACTCAAAACCTGGGAGACACTATTGTCACAGCCCGAGCTACGGACTCCGATCTTATGGTGAGTGTCTTGCAATGAAATTGTGTCGAACGTCTTATTCTTCGATTTGACCCTCTCTGAACTAATTGATGAAACACTGTACTGTACATTTGTAAACATATGTTTCGGTTTTATTCCAGTCCCCCAACAATGCTATTGTGTATAGTGGAGTGGGAACCGCTCGAGCTCTGGAGTACTTCTACATCAACGTTGTGACAGGCGATATCTCTGTTCGGCGCTCCCTCATTGACGACACAACCGCCAACAACGACAAATATACGGTACGTTGACAGCACGGGATGTTACAATATGCTATGCTTCTACATCATGCTGTAGCTAAAAGACAGTTGAATCATTGTTTATGCACTGAAAATATATATTATTTGTACTGTTTCAGCTTACCGTTGCTGCCCAGGACAAGGGTGTGCCAGTCTCCCTAGGGGCCACTCTACCTACGATTGTCAACATCTACGTGATCAGAAATCAGTTCGGACCGGTATTTGCCAACACTCCATACTCGGACACTATTTCTCAAGCCACTGCTGTGGGAACAAGGGTCTTTACAGTCACAGCCAATGATGAAGATCTTAGGGTGTGTACTACCTTATGGCTATTGAATGGTCAGATCTGAAGCACTGAAAACAAGCAGGTGATGTTCATGATGATGCATTGTCATACCATCTAAAATATGTCTTACTTTTTCTATACAGGCTCCCTACAACATAGTGCAGTACAGTTTGATCGGTGACGACAACGCTCCCAAATTCTTCACCATCAATCCTGTTACTGGAGAGATTGCGACTCGCGCTTCCATTTCCAGCGATACTTCTCCCTCCTACAGACTTCGTGTCATGGCCTACGATGGTGGCAACCCCTCAAGGAATACTTACGAAGTTGTCACGCTCACAGTGGACCGCAACCTGTTCGCACCAGCTTGGCTCCGCCCATCTGGTCCCGGCTTTACTGCTGCAACCACTATCTTCGAGAGCGCCGACTTCAACACTCCTGTATTCCAAGTGTCCGCCACGGATAACGATGCAGCAGTAAGCTCATTGACCAAATATCAATATGCTCGTAAACGTAAAGAATAATCATTCAGAATATTGTTTCAAAGTTCGGTGTATATATACTTGAATGTTTTTCACTTACAGGCTCCCTACAATACAGAGGTTTACAGTCTGGTTGGAGACAGTTCTGCCATGACCTACTTCTCAGTTGACGCAAACAGTGGTCACATCCGATTGAAGACCTCTCTCCTTCAGGACACAGCGCAGCAATACACCTTGCTAGTCCGCGTCACAGACGATGCCCAGCCTCAGAGACCAGCCACCAACACGGCCACGGTTCTGGTTAATGTCCTGCGTAATAAGTTTACTCCTTTCTTCATGGATACTCCATACTCTCGTCCAATCTCGGAGAATCTCGCAATAGGTTCTTCAGTGGTCACGGTTACAGCTTTGGATAATGATCCGGCAGAATACGTTTGAACGTGTGAACTATGAAATTATCGGAGACGACGCTGCCCCTGTTTATTTTAATATTGCCCAAACCACGGGAACACTGTCCATATCGCAATCATTGGTTGGCGTGGCCGAGAGTACATTCTACGTGAGGGTTCGAGCCTACGATAATGGTCTACCTATTCCAAGAAGTAACACCACTGTTGTCACTGTCACCATCAGGAGGAATCTCAATGCACCAGTTATCTCCCCTACACTGTACGAGAAGGTCATCCCCGACACCACTCCACTGGGAACGGTTGTAGCAACTATCGGTGCTACTGATGCCGATTTAAGTTCTCCCCACAATGTCATCCGATTCCTTTACTAGTAGTCCGAACTCAATGGCTGACGAATTCTTCTTCCTTGACGCCGTATCTGGTGATGTGTCGGTGAAAAAATCCCTCACACTCGACACGACCCAGAACTCAGTTTACACAGTAAGTCCATTAATTATTTATTATTATTTTATTCTATATTATATTGTATTAAAGCTTTGAATGTATGTTGACATAAAAGTGGAATTTACACGGAACGAAATATGAATATGTAACGGTATTACACAATCATTCATAATAAGTATATGATTATATCTAAAGATATATCTGTATCTGTATCGTAATATCACAATATTACAGATGGCGATTAGAGCTTCCGACACTGGGATCCCCCCTCTGACATCGCAGGAAGCCCAGGTTCGAATCCAGGTGACACGGAACCTCCATGCCCCACGCTTCTTTCAATCTCAGTACGAAGCCACTCTTCCAGAGATGCGTAGTGTTGGGGCTGTCATCGCTCAGCTCACTGTCTCTGATGCTGACACTGTGGTGAGTTTCGTTTCACAATGTACGTGTCCCAAAACTAACTTAACCACAGAAACTTTCTGTTTCGATCATCGTAGTAATATGAATATGCAGAGGATGAAAACTGCTGGATTGTGTATTTCCAGACTCCCTTCAATGCTGTGACTCTACGGGCTGTTGGTGACGACCTGGCTACAACATACTTCGGCATCAACCAGACTGGTTCTGTGTTTGTACAGAGAGACCTCAGAAGCGACACACTGACGTTTTACAGGGTAAGTGTGCCACGAAGTTGCCATTTGTAATACAAATACAACCATAAATACTTCCACTATCTTGGACGACATGTGTATAAATTCCTGATCTATATTGTCACGATTACCCTCCAGCTCAGAGTAGAAGCACGAGATGGCGGCTCTCCAGCTAGAAGTGCAACTGTCCTTGTCAACATCAACGTTCAACGCAACCTCTACGCCCCAGTGTTTAACCCAGCTCGCTATGAAGAAACCATCATGGAAACAACTGGACTGGGCGTCAGTCTCGTCAGAGTGCTGGCTACTGACGCAGACACAAGGGTAAGTATTGCAATATCATACATATATCGGACTTGTCCGCAACTCTATAAATAAGAGTGCACAACTCACATGGTACCATTATACAGGAATTTCATCTTTCCAAACACCAATGTTCCAGGCTCCACACAATGTATCCCGATTCAGCATCAGCCAAGGCAGTTCGAGTTCTCGGGGACGCGACTACTTCATCATCGACTCCGTCAGCGGAGTTGTAACCCTCAGACAGTCTCTCATGACCGACAACACCCAGGCTACAATTTATACTGTAAGTTAAATTTAGTTAAATAATCCCATCAATAGTATTTCCATTACGTCTTACCGTAAGTAAAATAAAGGTAAGGGCGGTAAAACGTAACTATATTTCAATTATATCCAGGAATTGTATTATTTCAATTGTAGCTTTAATGTCATTTTATCGTTACAGTTCAACGTTGACGCCACAGACACCGGCGTGCCTTCCCTCTCCAGCGCCAACGCTGCCACCGTCATCATCAACGTCGTCAGGAACCGCAATCCCCCATTCTTCATCGGTCAACCGTATAGTACCTACATCAACAGAACCTTGCCAGTAGGGGCAGTCGTTTACGACTTAGACGCTCAGGACTCGGACATCAGGGCTCCATACAACACCATCGAATACGACGTCATCGGCGACGATGTGTCACCCGTGTTTTTCACAGTTGAGGCTCAGTCCGGTCAAATCAGATTGACCCAGAGCATTCTAATGGAATCGGAACTAGTCTACCCAGTAAGTGTCTTTATGCAAATACATTTACCTATTCGCCCTGTTTAATCAATTCCTCTGATAATGTTCCTCACTGTCATTGACCCTTTACCTTTTTCAGGTGAGAATCCGTGCTCGCGATGGTGGTAACCCACGTCTCACAGCAACAGCCCTCGTCTCAGTGATTGTCAACCGCAATCTGCACGACCCCAGCTTCCTAAGACAATCCTACGATATCACCATTCTGGAGACTACAGCTCCAGGAACCAGTTTCATCAACGTCGCTGCCAACGATGCTGATATCACAGTGAGTAGACTGTACCAGATATACGCATATTCTACCCGTGAATTGTGTTATTCTAGCGAATACCGATTGGTGTGTGTGTTTAGCAATAAACGAATATTCTTATTTCTTCCAGGCTCCCTACAATGTGGTTCGCTACTACTTCGCCTCGTCCGTGGATCAGTTTTACCTAGACGACGTTTCAGGTCAGATCAGTGTCAGAAAGAATCTTGTTGGAGAGTCGCAGAACTCATTTACAGTAAGTGACAGAAGAACCACAGATAACAACGGACACACAATATATACAAAAGAACATATGCTTATAAATTCAATCATGTATTGTTTTAAGTTATAGTTTCATTTATATATACACTTATAAATCATAACCGGTTTCATATTAATGCCATAAGTATGTCATATTATTACAGAATTTATGATTTTCTGGTGTATTTTATTTTCAGTTCAGTGTAATAGCACGTGACGGCGGAAGTCCCCCGCGGAACAGTACTGTTGTAGCTGTGACAGTAACAGTCCTCCGTAACAACAACCCCCAACCTTCGTCAGTGAGCCTTACACCATCGACCTGAATTCCACACTCCGCGTGTCCACCAGGCCTGGTCCAGGTGGCCGCCACAGATGCTGACGTACAGGACCCATACAACAGGATCAGATTCACCATTATCGGGGATGATGCAGCACCAAGCCTCTTCACCATCGACGCGGCGCTACCGGCGTTATCAGGCTCAACAGCAACATCAACACCGACTCAGCGGTATTTATAAGATTCGTGTCTTGGCTCAAGACGGTGGCAGTCCGAGTTTGTCAGATACGACTGTCGTGTCTGTGAACGTCACCCGTAACCTCTTTTCCGCCGGAGTTCGGAGCACATTCTCTAATGTTGCGATCACCGAAAACCAAGCCCTTGGGAGTCTTTCTTCTTCAGTGTTGTTGCAAAGCGACAATGATGTCAATGTAAGTTGCGATGACTTGTAAAAATCAATCAACTCTTTCATTTCGTTTAAATAACAATTAAACCAAAAAGATCCTGATACCTGATAATAGCTAAAATCATTCTTCATCCACAGATTCCCAACAATGTGGTCGAGTACACATTGTCTGGCAATGATGCCGCGAAGGAGAATTTCCAAGTGGGCAGTCTGTCTGGTCAAATATCTCTGCTGCGGTCAGTGTCTGATGACGGGAACAGACCTTCCACGTACACCCTCACCATCACCGGGCGAGACATGGGCATCCCTCCACGCGCTGCCATCAACACGGCCACCGTGACGGTATCAGTAGCAAGGAACAACCACGCTCCTACCTTCAAGGGCCTGCCATACCTCAAAACCATCTCCAGGACTCTCGGTGCCAGTGCTAGTATATTACAGGTCACCTCTGTGGACGCCGATATTAGAGTAGGTTTCCTTATATAGTATTTGTTATGTCTTGATAATACGAAACAATATGTAGCTAAGTTACTGAGTTAATTACTTCTATATAAATATATTACTGTTATAAAAAATAATTTGAGTATATATTTCACTTGCAGGCACCTTTTAATCAAGTTACACTGAGTGTTGTCGGAGACATTCTCGCGCCAAATCTTTTTTGCACACTTGACGACACCGGAACCATCCGTGTTGCAAACAACGTCGATCTGGCCCAAGATTCCGCTCTCAAGTTACAAGGTGAGTGAATGTTTCAGTAGAGTTACGTCATTAACATGTATCGCCCAGTTTATACTTAGACAAAACTAGATCACACATCAGTAATTTCTTTCTTCATATAACAGCAACTGTTTTCACTCCACTTGTAGCTGCGAATCCTGGCCTATGATGGCGGTGTCCCATCACTTAAAGTGCAACAACCACAGTCGACATCACAGTTCAAAGAACATCTTTCCACCTGTATTCACCAACAACGATGTAATCCGCGTCAGTCATCCAGGAAAACACAGCTGTGGGTACGCTCATCGCCGATGTCAACGCTACAGACGCCGATCCTGACGCTCCCAACAACGTCTTTAGCTTCAGCGGCATTGGGGATGGAGATGCTGACGATATTTCTTTGTCAATCCGGTCGATGGAAGGATAACTCTCCTGAAACCTGTGAATGGCAGTAGCATATATGGATTTAGGGAGTAAAGGATGGCCTACCTTTATTGTTTGTTATTGTGTTTTGGCTATTTGATTCGGAATGAGGGAATTTCCTTCACAGCAGCACCAAGGTTTTGGTTTTTACATATATTCGTTTTGGTTTTAGCTTATTGTTTCAGGCCCAAGATGGCGGCTTCCCTCAGCTACAGAGCACCACTATCGTTGAAATCAGCATTCTGAGGGACACGGACTCCCTTCAGTTCACCCTCCCTAGCTACACAGCCAGTATATCCGAGAATCTCTGAAGTGAACACTGTAGTCACATCTACTGTCGCACAACCTGGGGTAGGTGGATCAATTTATATATAACAACTTTTTCCGAGTTCATATACATTGGTCGATTGAGTCTTCTTGAATGAATACAACACAGATAGAGACGCCATCTAATATTGACATCGTATTGCAGCCTGGAGTGAGCTACATCCTGACTGGGTACAGCAGTGGACCTGACTACTTCACCATCAACCCAACCACCGGCACCATCTTGGTCAAGAAAGATCTCAGGAGTGACCTCAACAAACTCAACATGTACTATGTAAGTAGCCATGGAAATAGTTTTAAACTGATTACAGGCTCTCATCATCAACAGAAGGATAACCTAAGCAAAACGTGTTTTCAGTATCGTCAGTGTTTATCTAACCTGGTAATATTTCTTTACTTTCAGCTCCACGTTAAGGCGTCCCGTCAGTTTACTACTGGTCTGAAGACCGCCATGACACAGGTAAATATCTCGGTAACCAGGAATGAGAACCCACCTGTATTCAGCACTGAGATCTACCAAGTGACCATC